GTTCTCCTGGGAGGACGATGACCACTGCCTGAGTTTCCCTTTGGAACCAGGAGCAGGGGCACTCGGCCTTCCCCACGCGAACTGACGTGCAAATGGACGCACCATGTCCTGGTCGCCGCGCTCCCTGGGGGCTGCTTTTATAGGTGGGGGGTTTGGCTGCCGTCACTCCTGTCCCTACCCACGCTGCGCCAGAGCTGCCGCACGTCAGCAGCTCGCCCTTTCCTGCTCTTCCCCGCTCTAGGCTGGGGGCTGGGCTGCCCCCTCTCTCCCTGCAGTTTTTGCCGCCTCAGCAAGGGTGCCCCGGCACGAGCGTCCGCTCCGGAGCCCTTCGCCTCGGTGACTGTTGTTCACACACAGAAGAAAGGTTAACTTTTTCTCAGTGACAGCCAAGTTAAGAGGAATTATTTCAAGAGCTCAGATAACCTACTGGCAGCAACATCATGTGACAGGCCCAAAAGCAACTTCAAAGCTGCCAACCCAACTGCCTCTCTTTTGTCCTGCCAAGAACAAGGCGCTAGCTTTAGAAGAGCTTGTGCTCATCATAATCTGGCTTCTGAGATCACATCCAAAGAGAGGGCACGAGGAAGAGTGAAATGCAAGAAGCAGTGAAGAGCAAAGATTTTCCATATTATGTACCTCTTCTACATTTCTTAAAAGCACTGAACGCATTTTTAATTTCATGGGACACAAAGGTATCTTTTTTGTCAGTGCTTTTACCCTTAATTTCTATTCCCCCGTTCTTTTATATTTTCTATCTCCATTGTGACGTTGACAGGCAGTTCAATGTGCATCACAGTTGTTTATTGGTCATAACATTACTTCAAAAATAATGGAATTTTGTTTCTTTTTTTTTCTGGGTTTGCAGTGCTGATTTAAGGGCTGAAGTATTGGGTTTAGCTTTTGAGAAAAAAAATGCAAACCCAAAAAATATGGTTCTGTGATATGACATCAGAAAAGGAAGAATAAATTTACTCACCCTCAAAATTTTCATTCTGAGAGTTGTAATGTACCAAGATCCTAAAAACGAGTCTTTGGGTTGCCTGTGGGTTTTTGGGGCAAAACTTAGATCTGCCATGCTGAGTATCAGCAGAACAGTATGCCATCTTGTCAGCAACTGTCAGGTCTGAGTTTGTCCTTCTGCCCCTCAGGACCACACCAGAATCCCTGAACCTTTCTCTTCTGAAGAATTCACATGTCCTCAGACTTTCTCCTCGTTGCCTTTGGGAAAAATTACTCAACCTCTCTACCTTATTTTCCCTGAGGATAAGAAAGGGCTAGTGGGTGCAATGCATGCCCAGTGGAGGAAGGTATGTTCTATTAGATAGGGGATGGCATGGGAAAACCAGTGAAACTGGAATTCTGCTTCTGGTTTAGCTGTAGATTTCCATGTGGCCTTAGGCATCAGCTTGCTACCTGTAATATTTGTACTGAAGTTCCCTCTCTGTAACACATTAACAACAACTTTTCAGAAACAAATAGATGTGAAAGATAAATAAATTTTTTTTCAATAAGAAAAGAATACTGGATTATTGTTTGGTGTATTGTGTTCCTTATGATGTTAAGGAGGATAACTAACATGGCATTTACCATCTACTTGATCTCATTTTCATAGTTACCTGATGAGGGAGCCCTAGACTTGTATTTTCAAACATCAGCCCACCATTATTTTTAAAGAAAATATTCTACCACATAGATTTTTTTCCCAACCCCATATTATAATGAAAAATGAGTTTATGTCTTTCACCAAAACAGTGTTTTAGCATCTCCTGCTTGGCACATCCAGTAGGTCTCAGCCCTGCTAATATTACTACTCAGGACTTTCAGCACAACTAGGTAAAGGCTATCAATGCATCACATCATGAAGGGCAAGTGTCATTTGCAAACTCAAGGCTAAACACAAGTGAGATTGACTTAACCTCTTCTAATTTTGGCAATACAGAAATTTTTCTCTACTCGCTGCCTGGCTTGGACACTAACCAGTTGAATTTACCTGCATTTTATTTACTGCTCCTCCACTGGCAACTCCTGGCAGCTACTTTAACAAAGGTGCCATCACTAAATCCTCTTCCATGAATGCTCCAAGCACTGGTCTCAAGTCTGCTTTAAGCATTTTCCTCGTCTCATTTTTAAGAGGAGTTTTAAGAGCTGTGACATGGTGCTGACCAGCCAGCAGAGCACACAGAAGAGGACTGCCCATATTACAAATTCTGATGCTACATTGCCATTCCCTAGAATTTAACTTTACTTGGGAAACGAAAGAGGGGACAGATTTTTGGCCAATGACACAAATCAAATGTAATGAAGAGAAAAATAAAATTTTATACTGGATTACTTGTTTTCTTTTTTTTTTTTTTTTCAAATCACATTGCACTTCTGAACATGGAGACTTTGGATATAATATTTTATTACAAACACTTAAAAAAATCTCAGTATTGATAATTAAAAGCTAGATCCATTTTCCTGCCAGCCTGTTTTAAGTATAGTCCTCTACTTAGGTCAAGGTATTTACAATTGAAAAATTGTAAGGAGTTTACTTCTTGTACTTTAATCTTGGCAGGATGAGTTTGAAAGCAAGAAATGTTTCCCAATGGCTATCTCATGTGGTTACAACAGCTGATGGCATATCCTGAATCTTTTCTCTTTAAAAACACACTAGTTGACTGCAGTATGAGTTGGATAAACACTTATTTCATCCTCTGCCAAAGGTGAATACATGGTTCCTCTGTGCAGGTGCCATTTCAGTGAGTTTGATTCAAGTCATCCTATCAATCCATCCATGGGCAAAACAGTAACAAATTACTTACTGAGACAGAGCTTGTGACTGACTCCCAGTTGGTTTCTGAGGCTGCATGCTGGAAATCATCCTAAGGGGAAAAACCCACAGCAAAAATCACCATTAAGGCAATGTCCTAAATTAACTGCAGAACCTAAAAAATGTCTCAGAATTCAACATCTGTCACCTTTTTCAACCCTCTTTAATGCAAGAAGCCCTTGCCATGTGTCATTCCTAAATAATGCTATTTGCATTCAGGTTCCTCCCTTTTCATTGTTTATAAACTGTCTCCTTGTAAGCTTGCCAAGGCAAGGATAGGTAGTATTATTATTATTTGTAATAAGCTTTGCATAGCAGGACCTAATCTGATCAAGGCCATTACATTTATCTTCCAACATAAATACTGAACACCACCTCTGTATGTCTACAATCAGAGTATTAATGCTGTTCCCCAAACTGATCCATTCTGGAAAGAATGTGGACATGCTAATACACTGGTACGACCTAGCCAAGGTGAAAAACAGGGTAATCCAATCAATTTGAAATGTAGTCCTAACATGACTGTACTGCTTTTGGTGCTTGTGTTGAACAGGACTTCCTCATCTGTGCAGAGCACTGAATGGCACGATGTCCTTTACATCAAAAAACACAGCCACAGTACATTCACATTAGAAGTGTCACTGCACAAAACCCCTGGGCATTTATGATTAAATTGAGCACAGGCATGGGATTTATTTCATCTACCTTTGGACATCTACAAAGCAAACATCTACTCTAGTCACTCTTGTTTCTGTTTACAGTCAACTAAAATTAGCATTTTTAGGGTGCAAACCGTCTGATCTATCTTTTTTATCTCCATTGTCTATAAAGGTAGCCTGGGAGGACTAGCATAGATACAGATTGTAGATATTGACATGTCGAAATTGTAGATATTGACACGTGGTCACCTGAATCCCAATCCACTTGTCTGATGAGTGATAGGCAATCATTACTTAAATAATGAAGAAGCCATTTCTTTAATCTTATGGCAGTTTTACTCTTTTCCAACTGGGATGATTAAACCATGAAAAATTGAAAAAAAGGCAGCATTACTGAATGGTTATTAAACACACACATGCAGTGAATAGCTAATGATAGGCATGAATAGGCAGGTAAGGAAAGTGGACTGAAGTGACAGCATACCAAGATTTTAATTTCTAATAACATAATTTATAATGAAAGGATTTAAAGAAGATGGATCAATGCCTGGGCTCACCATTTTACACCGACTCAGTATCTGCTACGCATTTTTTAAGTTTGCAACTGAAAAGGAAAATGGAAGGGTAGCTGCTCAGCGGATGCTCTCTAGGCTTAATCCTACATTGGACCATACATATATGCATATATTGAGTTATTTCTTAGGAATGCAAAAGAGAAAATTGATCACATAATCTGCTAATTCATCAATAAAATTATCCTTTAGTCAAGAAGGAACAGAGCTGCTTTCAGATCCAGACTTGATATACACGGTATTTTAATGTATTTCATTTGCTATAGAAAAATATTCAAATGTCCCACAAGTCGCAAGATTGTTTATTCAATATTGTTACTGTTTCTTCTTCCTTAAAATGTTCCTTTCTCTCAAATTTGCGGCAGCAAAACTAGTGATTTCCTCAGTACTTAAGATTAGTAGAAGTTAAGAAAACCCATCACACTATAGTGTCACTAAATGGCCACTGAAACGGCAGGGCTATTAAAACATTAATAATTAAAGTAATTTTCTTCTAGGAATACACAAGCAAAACATTAGTGGTGAAATTTTTAATGCAGGGTTTTTTTTATAAACAGTAAAGAGATCTGCAAATGCTATGATCAGGTCATAAATAATTCAGGAGCAGTGGGCTACCTTGGCCACATTCTCTACACGTTTGGTTGCCCAGTTCTTGACGAGCCACGATTTTAAAGTACATAAAAATGGCTCTGAAAAGCTCATGGGTCCTCTGGTAGTGGTTGCCAGTTGCAAAACCTGGAAATCATTTCCTCCCTGTCATTAGCTTCCATTTAGCACTTCCAGAAAAAAGTGGCATTGAGTTCTGAGGCATTATTTTAAAACAGGAACAATCTGCCTCATTGAATGTCTGGAGAAGACTGTAGACAAGGAATAATTTTGTGTTTGAAGTGACGGTCCCCTTGTGTTATCTAATTGTAGACATCAGAACTGTTTCTTTAGTCTATGATTCTTTGAGATGGTTGATGCCAGGGAACCCCTCCAAAATCCTGAGATAGACGTGTACCACCTGCTTCTTGGATCTCAAACCTGATGACTGCACATTTTGACTCTGTGATTATATTTCATCTGCATAAACTATTCACAACTATATGGCTTTGTTCCACCACCACTCAAGGCAGCTGCAGTCATTCTTGGCTTCTTGGAGCTTTCAACCTCTGTAGTTTGAAGATTATTATTACCTATGGCTTCTGCTTGTAGCTATTTCAAGTAATAATATCAAAGTGGTTCTCATCATTACAAAACCCTCTCCTCCTTTCTCACCATTGTCGCTAGCAGAACCTGAAGGACAAATCTATTTTCAGTGCTATCTATTCAATTTATAGTACCTTGTTTATATGAATTTGCATATGATCACTTGGCTATTGTTTTCTCCATTACTTAAAATGACATTAAAACTTTTAGTTAAGACATAAAAAAACCTCATCTTTTTTAACTGAATACTGGAAAAACAGGGTGGTAATAATTTGACTACATTACCCTGACAACAGTGCTTTTATTTTCACATATGTGTCATGGTAACATAACAACATTATATGAGACTTCAGCAAAGCACCGCATTAACTGTTCTACAAGCAGCAAAAATACAGGCAAAGCAACAGGGCTATCAACCACCTTCTGACAGCAGCTACTTTTATTGAAGAAAAACGACTTCCATATCTCAACTTCTAAAATTACACCTCAGCACGACAAATCCTGAGTCAGTCCTTAGAGTTAAATATATGTGGACATTGATACATTGTTCTTGGCTCTGTTTCAGACAAAGATAAGCTACTCACTCCTTTGCACACTGACTTTGTCTATAGCCTGTCTCCCACCACTGATCTCCAATAAGTGACAAGGAGTCATGGGGAATACTCTGTGTTTCACCTAGGGCTTTCACAAGTAGAGATCAAGAGGCAAAATCACTGCTGTCAAGGATACATGAGACTGCAGAGCCAGATAGCACTGGTTGCTGAGGAAGATTGTTTGCAGCCTGGGGGTCCATGTCCTGCAGCAGCACAGGCTTTGCTGGGTTCAAGCCATGGCGTTTGGCAGGGTCAGTAGGAACAGGGAGGCATCAGGAAGACAGAAGGGATGAGGCTGGGAAGCTTGCCAGTTTGAGAAGCATGTTGTCCATGACTCACTTCACTCTACCACAAATATGGCAAAACATGTGAGTCCTCCCAGCCATGCTGAATTACTGCCTGGTCCTCAAATTAAAAGCAAGAAACACTTTCTAATATTTCTGTGATTCTTCATTTTTACATACTTTACCACTGTAGTTCCATCTTTTGTCACCTTCGTGCTTGACATCTATGAGGCATGATGCCTGGGATAGGCAATAACTGCCACAAGATGGGCACAACACACTGGCAGCTCTCTTCAGTGAAAAGAAGCAGCCCCGTATCTCTATTAAGCTCCTCTCTGAACTCTTTCTCCTAATCTGCAGGTCCTTGGGGTAATTGGATTAGGTTTGGTAAAAGATTGTTTATCTGCCAAAACAACTATAAACTATGGCTAACAAAAGCTGAGGTGATGCTCTTCACTTCAGGGAGCAGGAAGGGTTCACAAAAGAGTTGTGGTTAAGAAGAGCCCAGACAGCATCCTAGACTGACATTTAGGGCCTACCAAGTTGAATAAGGTCCTCTCCTGAAGGAGCAACCTTCTCTACTATGACCTTGTCATGGGTGTGGAAGAGAAGTGAAGGGGGAAAGGTAAAAATGCAGGCATGTTCTTGTGGCAAGTAAACATGAGAAAGCAGAAGAAAGAAACAAACTAAGGAAAAACAAACACAGAGAAGATGAATGTGTTGGGCTTTGCCTGTGGTCACCTCATTTATGGTATTTAGATGCCATAGCTATAAACTATAAAACAGAGATGCAGCTTCTAGAAGTTTGCAGAGGAACAGGCCTAAGGGATGTACTGAGGCACAAAGGAGATTCTGCAAAAACAAACCAGAGGTGAAATGGGGCATGTTCAAAGAGGTCCAGGGCAGAAACAAAAAGAAGTTGGAATCCCTCACTGGAACACACGAACTAGGGACTAGGACACTGGAAGGTCTGTAAGGAAAACCTAGGGTAAGTTATAACTTGGAAGAAAAAGAGATGAAATTATCCTAACATCTAAATTAATAAAAGGACACTCAATGATAGCTATTTTTGAACAGTAGTCAACATGCATCTATTGCATTCAGAGCTGTTTGCAGACAAGTAGCTGATAAGCAGATAAACTTGTGGTTAGTAATAATAAATTACAATAATCTGGAAATAAGGTCTTGCTTTTTTTCCCTGTAACAAGCAATACTACCAATATTTTCTCTGAACATTGAATTATAGATATGACATTTTCTACACAAAGCAACAGGTATTTCGAGCAAATAAAACCCAACGTCAGAACACGCTGTGTAACAGCAACAGTGTTAGGTAAGTAAGAGGCAAAAGAAAAGTCATAGTTCCATTTAAAAAAATGCTGTGATAAATACTCAAGTTTGTACACTTCCACTGACCAATTATAATTTCTCATGTGGCATTTTAGTACACTCCATTTTCTATTATTAAAGATAAACAAATGTATAGAGATGTACACTTTGAAGTATCTTTTTCTTTTACTACACTTTCAATCCATCACATTGCTAGGTTTCATTTTCATATCAGAATGATATTTATGACCACTTGTCCTAAGGCTGCTGAAAGATACCCGTTTTCCTACAGCAGGATACTCACTAGGAAGTCAGAGGCTGCATTCTTCTTACCTACAGTAAAGGCCAAACCACTGCTCTGTTCAGTTCTGGTGACCAGGCTTTAAAATAAAAGACCCTGAATTTGGAAACCATGCAACAATGA